GGTAAGGAAAGTTTAGATAGTTTCCTACTTTCACTTAACCAGCGTGAAATGAATATTAGGGTAAGATTGGAAATGGAAGATAATAAGTCTTTCCTTTCTGGATGTTTTCGTCATTAGAAAATAGGATAGGTTAGGAAGAAATGTTTATAGGAAGCCAACATACGTTAGCTCTGCTCAATTTTTTTTCCCAACTATAATTGCAAAACTAAAGTTGGAATTTTGAAATTAATAATTATTAAAAGTGAGGCTAGCGGATAGCAATCATTTGAATAAAGTTTGAAAATATCTACCCTTTGGACCTTTTTACTGTCGAATACATTTTCAGACGGGACTTTACATTTTGTTCTGTCAATCTAGTGAAGCCCTTTATCAGTTTTGGTTGTGGCTTATTAAGGATTAATTTTTGAAACGAGTTTTTGTGAGAATCGGAGCTACTTTCATAGACCTAAAATTAGAGATGCATTCATAAATTTATGAGGGGAATCTGAATGTAATTAAAGTCTTTTTAAAATTAAAATTCATAGTTCTTATATGAAACGGTATTCTACATTAAGTTATTGTTGACTGTTTTTGTCTTCTTTTTGAATGCATTTTCTAATTAATGGACTTGTCGTATCTGTAGTACAGGATGCTCAAATATTAGCCTTGTCTTTCTTATTGTAAGGTATCATTAAATATATATAATTTGAGTTGGTCATCTAAGCTCGCTCTGCTGTTTCTCTACCTGCTTATGGTCATAGTATGCATGATCATGATATGGCTCACTTTATTGATAGCCCATATTCTCTCATACGGGCATTATGGCGACTTTTAATTGTTATATTGAGTTAGATTGCATTTGTAATCCATATCGTATATCGACCATATTTTATCTTAAACTGTAAATTATTTGTGATTTGGTATAGCAGTGAATATCCTATTGTATCGCCTCCTTTTTCACTCTCTAGCTCGCTTCGGTTTTGGCTGCCAAGGACATTAAGAAGGCTGGGCACCGAGTGCCTCATTTGACTGAGGAGAAGGTGGATCGAATCCGGTTGTCCGTGGTACGCTACATGACCTCTCGAGGTGTAGTCTACCAACCCCATTCGCACAAGCCTAAGCCAATTGTTGTGTCCTCATTGGAGCAACTTCCCCACAGCAACTCTGTTACACCAAAGACAGCATTGGCTCTCAATGACCAGCCTCAGCACCGAAGCCAGTCGCAAGAGCAATCGCCTCACCAGGCGAAATAGTTGTAGAGGACCAGCTTTTCATCCTCAGTCATTAGATAAAATTTCTTCGAACCCGGAAAGCACTATATAGGCATCAACGTTTATACCATGCCGTAAGCGCTAGTGGGCATGAAGAAATTCTATTGACCACACCTTTATTGGCAAACTTTTACTCCCATATTCGGCTGCTAAATGCTCCTTTCGTCTTATCTCGATTTTTCGTTAATAGAAATTTTCATTAGCGTTTCTATTCCCTAAGTATGCACTATTTGATTTCGTCTATAAATTGCTCCTTGTCCGTCCTACAATATTCTCCTTATATTGATACTTCTGTGATTCATGCTACTTCACCCTTATTCATCATCTTAATCACATCCAAATTGAGGGTAAATCTAGGCATATTCTTCTATCTACTTATTTTTATTTTTTACCCTTTT